GTGGCCGTAGCAGAAGAGTAGCAGTAGCAGTAGTAGTAGTAGTAGTAGTAGTAGTAGCAGTAGCAGTAGCAGTAGCAGTAGCAGTAGCAGTAGTAGTAGTAGTAGTAGTAGTAGTAGTAGCAGTAGCAGAAACAGTAGCAGTAGCAGTAGCAGTAGTAGTAGTAGTAGTAGTAGTAATAGTAAGAGTAGTAAGAGTAGTAGTAGTAAGAGTAGTAGTAGTAGTAGTAGTAGTAGTAGTAGTAGTGGTAGTAGTAGTGGTAGTAGTAGCAGCAGGAGCAGTACTGCTACTAATAGTAGTAGTAGTAGTAGTAGTAGTAGCAGTAGTAGTCTTAGTAGTAGTAGCAGTAGTAGTAGTAGTAGTAGTAGTAGCAGCAGCAGGAGCAATAGTAGTAGTCGTCGGCGTCGGCGTCGTGGTAGGATCGGTAGTAGTCGCAGCAGCCATGCCGTCAAGCGTTTGCCAAACGATAACGATAAACGCGGCAACGACGGTAGTGGCGAGGAGGATGAGGTCGACGACGCCTGCTTATCATCATTCATAGCGGCACCACGACTACAGCAGTCCACATGATATTTCCGACCCGCAGTACGACTTCGACTGACTGCAATTGCTCGCAATGGTTGCTACCTGACAGCGGCTTATCTCCTTCTAATCACTGCTACCGCTGCTGCTGATGCCGCTGAAGCTGCAGCCCCCCCGCCACCTACAACGACGACGACCGCTGCCACGACGACCATTGTGGCAATTTCCACTACTGTAGGTGGTCGCTACACTCATAATGGCATAACGTTATAACTCTACAGCCAACAACGAACACAATAGTCAGTGACGATTCCAGCAGTAGCATGACCTCAACAAGAAGCGAAAACGAGATAGGCACACCGCAGCTACAACGACGAACGAAGAAAAGCCGAGCTAGCCAACGAACCCATATCAACTTTACAGTATTGATAAAACAGGCTCAACTACCTCTGCTAGGTCAAGAGCACAACTTCAGGACCAATGTGCACTGATCCGAGCTACACAGAAGGGGTTACCCTCAGCCCCTAAACCCGAAACCCACAGCCCCTAAACCCGAAACCCTAAACGTCTTTCCGGACCAAGGTTCGCAATTGTTGTACCCAGGTAGCCTTCGTCGGGTGCTGAGGTTTGGAGCTTGCGTCAGAACGATATCTAGCCTAGGGCTTCGGGTTTTGGTTTAGGGTTCAGGGTTTAGGGGTTCCCCTGTAGCCCCTTAAGAATAAGGGAAGCCTTTGTCCTACAGTTTGGCTTCAATAAGGGAACCCAACAATGAACAAGGGCAACAGGGTACTACTGGGGAACCTAGATAAAACACATCTGTATGGCCCAAACCTTCGGGCGGGTGGATCCACTGTGTCAACCTCATGGGCTGAGTAACCCGAGCCCAAACAAGGCTAACCTCTTCAAGTCTGGTAGGATTATCTAAGGCCCCAAGCGGTTAAAGGATACCTGCTCAGCTACTACGAAAACGTGAAGTACAACACGGGAAGGACCGGTTCCTCACCAAAGATATGCACACAGCCTGTCCAAGGACAGCCCTTAACTTGAAGGGAAGCACTTGTGGGTATGAATGGTTTTGGGATTTGGAGATTCTCCAGTCGGGATCCGAGCAGTACCAAACCAGTAAGCCGCAAGGCCCTGTGGGCTTGTACACGAAGTGAGTAAACATAGTAACACAAGTCTTAGTGTCCCCCCTAGCAAACACGACAGCAATAGTATCAACAGCCTTCTCCAAGAAAAGGGCCTTAGGTATTCTTGGACAGATCGGACTTCGCGTTCTGGTCGATTCACCAGGGCTGGCGGGGGATTTGGGCGGTATATCTACCCTAAATCCTACACCCGATAGAGCGCCGAATTAGCAACTCGGAAGCTTAGCTTTGGGTCGGGGCTATAGGGACTACATAGGGGTTTTTCGGATTACAGATATAGGCTTTAGGGTTTGGGGTTCCAGGGTTTAGGGCTTCATCCTCGCCGAAACGAAAGGTGCTGTGGGACTGAACCAGGGCAGCCTTCGCCTTCACATACTTTTCTGCTACATGCACTAGACTCGCCATCGGCACGGTTGATGATATACATCCTGCATTACCCATAACAAGGAATACACCGTAATTCCCATAGGGTCCTTCAGGTAATGCAGGATTTATATCACCAACAGTATCATCACCAATGATACCCATCACCATCACCACTACTGCCAAGAGCATCTGAAGCAAATACGAATCGTAAGTGTCGCCATAACCATCGCCCATTCATGTACGGATATCAGAACTAGTGACTAAACCCTAAGCCGTAAACCCCAACATGATCTGGACCATTCTGAGGCCAGCGGCTTAGCTGCTCCCCCGGATGCTGATTAGCCCACCTCGCGACGAAGGGCAAACGGGGCTCATGCCGAGGGATCTGGGAACTTGGCCTAGGCCTTTGCCCTCGACCCTAAACCTTAAACCCCGTAACGCCGATCCCCAAACCCTAAACCCAAACCCCACAAGCTAAACCTTAAATCCTTAAATCCCAAATCCTGAACCCTACACCCAAACCCTAAACCCTAAAGCTTGAACTCTACCTAACAGACAGAGCCTTCAAAAACTCAGGTCCCCCCACATCGGAACATTCTCATACGCGTTTAGGGTTTGGGTTCAGGGTTTAGGGTTTAGGGTTTAGGGTTTAGGGTTTAGGGTTTAGGGTTTAGGGTTTAGGAGTTTCTTACTACAGCTCCGCATCTGGATCCTAAGCCTGTAAACTAAACCCAAACCCCTCATAGACAGCAAGGCCCAAGCCCCTCACACAAACCTGCCTTAATAACCAGATGACCCATAAAAGTAGGGGCCCTATACCCGTATACTATGATTCCCCAAACCCTAAACCCCAAAGGGTATCTGAACCCTTGAAGCCTTTGAAGGTTCATGTCCTCGTTGAGGGACAAGAGCCCTGCTAGCAACGCTTCGTTCACAAGCTCGGCCTTTGATAATCCCTAAACCCTGAACTCTAAACCCGTATAACCTTAAACCCTAAACCCTGAACCTTTTTGCATCCAGGCCTATTGCAACTGCCGGGTACCTCTGAACCTAAACCCCTAAACTCCTAGACCCCTAAACCCTAAAACCATCAATCCTAAAACCTAAAACCTCAACTCAAGTCTATAGAACCCTGCCATGAGTCGTAGAACCTGCCCTAAAACACGAAATGGGCACTATAGGGATTCATAGTATAAGGGTATAAGGGTCTTAGTTGTTAAGGGTTATGTGGTCCTTCCCCTGACGCCTAAGACTGGAATAGCGGCTTTAGGCAGCACAGTTAATACCCTCTCGGTAGTCCAACTTTCCAGCGGCTTCAAATTAGGTAGCGTGCTGTTCTGCAAAATTTCAGGCACACAAAAAACACATAGGCAGAGAAAAATACACGTACATCTATACATGTGCGAACAACAATTCATTCCCCGAATGCCCAGGGAAAGAAGAAGCGGACTGCAACATTGCTGCTAACTTGTGACCACTCAAACATTTCAGAGTTGCGTTGGTTTGGAAAAAACCAAGGTAAGAAGGCATGCGAGATATGAATGATGACCCATGTAAAGAATAGCGCAAGCCGCCCCCCCCCCCCCC